AGCCCACCATTTTTTGAGATTTCTGAAAGAACAGCTGAATATAAAGCCCACAATTGCTACAAAACCAGCACTGACAGGAGATTATTTTTTCTTCTTCACCAGTGAAGTTCCCACTTCCTGCCACGATCCCTGTGTTTGTCCTCCCCATCTTCCTGATTGGTGCCTTCATCCTCTGCTTTTTGAAACAAGATGCCAAGCAAAGGAAGATGCCTCAGGCTCTGGTATGGCCCAGATTCTGGGGTCCCCTCCTGACTCAAAGTCTTGCTGGTTTTCAGAGGGGAACTGGGGAGGAGTGGGGAGGGGGGTTCTGCACATCTCAGTTTTGTGTTTATAAGTCCCATTTTAAGTAGGCTTTTCTGTATCCAAACTTTTATTTTAAAAGCATCACTAACTGACTGTCTCCCTCCTTTTCCCTGGCAGGATTTCCGTCACTTCCAAGCTGCTGGAGCAGCTTTTCCCTGGGAGCTCAGTGAGAAGGAACTCTGCAGTGATGATCTGACCTGCACAGAGAAGCCAAGGGCACAAAGGAAGACAGGCAGAGCCTTAGCAAGGAACAACCTACCACAGGTGGCTTCTTTCCTATCACCATCACCATCATCATCATCAGATGAGGAGGAGGAGGAGGAGGAGGAAGAAGACAGCGGTACTTTCATCCCATACAACCAAGTGACTCGCTTTCCAAAGAGACATCTCAACTGCCAACTACCCCAAGCAGTTCAGGGGAAAACAAGCTTGGATTCAGGAACTGGAGGTCTCTCTGTGGACAGTGAATCTCTGCTTGACCTCAGTACCTCGGGTTTCTCCTCCTTCCCAGAGAGAAAGGACGGGGTGGACCCCTCGGGATCCCAAGCAAATGAGGAGGCATCCCTTTCTCACAGTTCCTCTTTAGGGACAATATCCCTCACTGAGGTGAGATTCCCAGGTTTCAGTGAACAGCACGAGGCAGACAGGGGTGAGAGCCTGGGAATGACCCTCCCTCATCCACTGAAGGAGGGGGTTTGTGCCCAAGGCCCTCCCGGTGAGCACCACCCGCAGCAGGAGGGTCATCCCTTCACCAGGGATCACCAGAAATCAATCACTGATCTGCAGGGCCAGATCCACGGGATATCCCAGCTCGGGGAGGATCCCAACATCCAGCTGCTCATCCCCTTACACACTCTGCAGGTGGCAGCAGATGAAGGGATCTCGAGTGACTGTGACAGTGACAGTTCTACCGAAGGGACACCTCCCACATCCACGGTGCTGAGTGACACCTTTGGACCTTCAAACACGGGGGACAAATATGATCCAAAGTTTCAATTCAAAGGCTACAGCCATGCACATTACTTGGGAAGGACCTAGAGCACCCAGAGTGCCTGGAAAATGCTGGAGAGCTCCAGATATCCAGGCAAGGAGACCTGAACAAGGACAAATATCTTGAGAGTGACGCTGGTTTTTTATTTATTCACTTCGAGTTTTCTCTGCTGATGTCTGGCCTATCAAGGCATATGACTTTAGGGACACAGAAGGTGTAATTAATTTCCCAGTAACCTCTGTACACTGTCCCAATGTACTGTGATAAGGTGCTCAGGCTCTGATTAGAGCCAGGGGTGAGTCAGGCAGAGGTATCTCGGGAGGTTTCACACAGCAAACAGGCACTGCCTCCTGTTCACCCAAAACTTCAGAGCAAGGGAGCTGCTACATGTGAGTTATGAAAGGCAAAACCACAACCTAGACTCGTGTGGAACCATCAGCTGGGCCCTGAAAACACAGTGTTGTGCCTGCACGTTGATTTGGGGGGGATTTTAAACTGTTTACGTCACATTTGCTCCTCCCCAGCTGCAGAACTGCACCTCTGCTGGGCTGGGAGCACCTTACAGAGACAGTCAGCAACATCTGGTTTTTGTGGGATGGAAAGTTCTCTACCTCAGCCTAAAAAGATCACCTTCTGTGTTCCAACAGAGGGAGAAATATGCAGCATGTTTGTTTATTTATTTTTTGTTTTATATGAATATACTTACAGAAGCTGAAACTCCTTCTGCTGTGCAGAGTGTCTGAGAGCAATAATATTTTGATATTTTTATATATAACTCCATGTGTGTGTGTTTTTGTGTCCCAGAGCTAGAAAGGGTGACTGCAGCTCATCCTGAAAAATATTACATTTTAAGACAGGACCCCACCTGGGCCTTCCTAATGCTTTGGTTGGAGTAGAATCCCATGAGACTTCCCAGACAGGCCATCCTGGTCACTGAAAAAACAGGACTGTGACCCTCTCTCTGAACAAAGAATCACGGAGTGGTTTGGTTTGGATTGGAAGTGACCTGAAAGCTCATTTCATTCCAGTCCCCTGCCATGGGCAGGGACACCTTCCACTAGCCCAGGTTGCTCCAACCTGGCCTTGGACACTCCCAGGGATGGGACAGCCACAGCTTCTCTGGGCAACCTGTGCCAGGGCCTCCCCACCCTCACAGGGAACAATTTCTTCCTTATATCTAATCTAGATCTCCCCTCTGTCAGTTTAAAGCCATTATCCTTTGTCCTGTCACTATGTGCCCTTGTAAAAAGTCTTTTTACACTGAAGTATAAAGAGAGAGCCTTTGTGTGGAGGACACACTGAAAAGCAAAGCCTTAAAAGAAAGAGGGAAACACCCCCCAGCCATTCTCTGCATTCAGGGAGAGTTGTCTCAGATGAGGGAAGGGTGTTGATGGAGAGTATTAAAGCTGAAATCTTTAGAGAATCAGGAGAACAATATTTGAAAGGGGGAGGGGGTGATAGGAGGGTTTGGGAAGGGTTTTGAAGCAAGATGTGCTAATTAAGGGCCTGAATTAAAGTGGGAGGTTGGAGAAAGGACCCATCAACTAGAATTATCCTTTTTTTTCTTGCCTGTCCTCTGCAAAGTGTCCTTTGGTACATCCTGCATTGTAATCCCTCCAGTTCATTTAGAAAGATACAGGTGATACAAAGTAATCACCACCCAATTTCTTGTGCAATCAAGGAAAAACCCCCAGGCTTTGAGTTACAGGAAACTCTGGAGTTGTGTAACCTCTACAAAATTATTTTGACATGTCACAGCTCTGCAAACAGGGCCTGGGATCAGTTCTTTGTCTTTCCAGGGAGCTGAGGGACAGGCTGCAGGGCCAGGTGAGCTGCACGGGGGGAGGTAGCATCCCACTCCTCCACGTTTTCTTTCAGCAGGGCCTGAGACCTGTTTTCCACTGCAAAAGGGTCAGTCACAGCCAGAGCACATGTGGCACATGCTGCAGCCCCCCCCCGACTGTGAGGGAGCTGAAAGTTTGAGGAGGTTTGGAAGTTCGAAGCCAAGTGCTTAATTTCAAACTTGAAAGTAGAGATTTGGAAACCTTCAGGCACCTAAAGATTCAGGGAGGTGCTTCCTGGGCTGTTCAGAAGGTGGCATCTCGCTAGAAATAAGGGCAGGAATGAAGCTGGAAGTTATATTCTCAAAACTAAAGTCTCAGGTACAATCCAAGGTCCCTCATCCCTGCCCTGTCACACAGCAGAGGCACAAAGTAGTGACGTGAGTGAAGGAAAAAAGTGGAAATACTTTAGCAGGTCATTCAGGGAACACCCTAAGGAAGAGTTATACTTAACTAGATGTGGGCCACGCTGGTGGATAGGTGTGTCTTGTTTAACACACCTGTGAGGCTTCTGCCTTTGTCCAGGTGAGGTGAGAAAGACAAAGTGCCCAGTGGTGCATCATGGCATGGTTGGGGCCCTGTTAACACCCCAGCAGAGCAGGGAACAGAAAGAGCTTCAGGAACAGACAATCCACGAGGTGAAGAGGGAAGCAGAGGGGGTAGTTGGGATTTGTGGAATTTTGGTGGAACTTGACCTTTATTCAGTGGTCCAGTTAGTCCTGGGCAAAGCTGAGGGCTGAGGACAGGAGCCCCAGCTGTGAAGAGGGGATAAGATAAAGCAGAGGAATGAGCCACAGAGGTTATCCAGTTTTTGAAAAAGGAATAGCTACGCTATAAACAGTCAAAAGCAGTGGCTCAGGGAGTGTCCTAAGCCTCAAATACAGGCTGCATGTGTGAAGCCTTCTCCTCTTGGGATGTCTTGGGTAAAATAAGCAGCATGCAGAGGTACCAGTTCTCAAGCGTTCTATGCACCTGGTGGTTCTAAACCTGCATCTCCTGGAGATTTCAGTTTTGATGGAAGAAGGAAATGTCTCTCCCTCTTCTGAGAACAACCTGAACATGTAATTTAATAACACCTTAAATAACTGAGCAGGCTATGGAAAAGGAACTATATCTCACAAACTCCCAGTTCTTACCACCAGGCATTCAGGATATCCCGAAAAGAGCCCTAAATTGTAAACAGACACAAAAATAAACTGTAGGTCTGCAGTGACCCCTGCACAAAGCATGTGCTCCTCCCGTGGAAAGGCCACCTCCTTTCTACCTCCTTCCTATGTCAGGTGAGAGAACTTCTGCACCCACCTGGCAGGGCAGAGCAGGGCAGAGCTGAGGAGCTGCCAAGGCTGCAGCAGGGCACGTGCTGGTCATTTGGTTCCCATCCAAGGTCAGTGTGAAGAGTGTAAAAACAAAGTGATCTGGCTGACTTTCACTTTGAGAAAGTATTCAAGGGTTTTTCTTGAGGAAATAGGTGTATTACTTGCAGCAGGCATTAAAGCCAACCAGGTGCACCAGCACTAAGTTTTAATTTCTAGAGTTTCAACAAGCCCGAGTCGCCCGACCAGAAAAGCCAGGCTCAAACCCCAAAAACCTCAGGGAGGGCTTTCGGGCAGGAAGCTCTCAGCAAAAAGGTATTTGGCTCTTTTTCAAGATTTGAGGGACTTTCTGAGCCTCTGGCTCGTGCACCTTTGTACAGTCAGGTGGGGAGAGGTGCTCCCGTCGTGGCTCCCGCGCTCCCTCACACATGCGCACGGCTCCGGGAGCTCAGATCCCAGGGGAGGCGGGATAGGAGCTCTGCAGCCTGTTACTGAGCAACAAATCCAGCCTGGCCTCACAAGAAAGAATTCACCTCTCATGAAAGGTGATTCACCTGCACGCAGGATCAGCCGCCTGCCCTCCCAGCCCAGCCTGCCCAGGGATTCATGAAGCGATTCCTGCTCATCCTGGCTGGATTTGCAGTGGTCGGTAAGTCCTGACTTCTCCTTTCCTGTCACTAATTGGGGTGTTTCTGCTTGATCCTGTAGTATGGGACATAATTCTATCATGTTTACTGAATTAACACCTAGAGAGTGAGCTGTTGTCTGAAGTTGCATAAAGCTTGTTTTCCATGTTGTTCTCTCCTTTTTATAATTCCCATGTGGGTTGAGGTGCTCAGTGCTTGAAGGATTAGTAGGGAGGCAAAAAGATTCTTTCACTTCAAAGCATTTGCCACTGGTGTGTTACAACCCAAATCCTACAGGAGTAAAGGATATTCCTTGATTTCAGTGGGCTTTGGATCAGTCTCCCTGGTTTTAAAAGAGGTGCAAACAAATAATGTAATCTGAAAATCGTAGAATCATCACACAGTGGTTTGGGTAGGAAGGGATATTGAAGAACATCCAATTCCACCCCCTGCCATGGACAGGGACACCTTCCACTATCCCAGGTTGCTCAGAGCTCCATCCAATCTGGCCTTGGACACTTCCAGGGATGGGGCAGCCACAGCTTCTCTGGGCAACCTGTGCCAGGGCCTCCCCACCCTCACAGGGAAGGATTTCTCCTTTTTATCTAATCTAAATCTACCCTCTAAAAGCCATTTAATCCTACTCCAGATATGGCAAACTCACTCCTGGGATAATGAAGGATAAACTTGCTGTTTCCAAACTCCAGCTTGTCATTATCTGCTCCTGTCTGTGCTCCTACATCGCAGGGAAGGCGCCTTCAGAAACTCCTAGAACAGAAGGTCTGTCACTGTGAAATATCCTGGTTTTCCCCTGCCCACACTTGACTGTGCTTGTGTTACACTGCTTTGCATAACTGTTTTAGTGTGGATAAATGTGGGAAGACAGAGATTTCCTACTCCTGATACGATCAGGGTATTGGTGACTCAGTTTTCAATGTGCTCAGACAGGGAAACCCACCCACCCACCCCCTTCCTACAGCAGGACAGGGGTGCTGAGCCTTGAGGGAGCAGAGGCAGGTGTTGAAATATGGGCAAAAGCTGGACTAGATTTCAGTCCATTCCTGTGTCATTTTCCTGCCCAAATGCCACACACAGCCCTGAGGATGGATCTGTGCCTTTCTGCCTGGCTGTCCTCCCCTGCAGCCAGCTGGTTTAGCTGCTGGCACTCAGCTCTGCTCCAGGGAGGCAGCAGGAGGGAAAGCTTGGAGCAGGATCTGGATGTGACTTAGCCTCTGCTCCTCCACAGCTGCTCAATGGGATCTTGTCCAAGTCACCCCCATCCTGTCCTCAGTTTTCCCTCCCTACTTTCACTTGCTCACCCCCTTTTCTAACGAGGGATCTCATTCATTTTGAGCACCATGGTGGGACTGATCACTCTCAGCAAGCACAGGCTGAAGCCCACCCATGTTCCAGGTGTTTATCAACACCACAAACTGCATTGAGCAATGTATAAATGATCTCCCTTTGAGGATCTGTCTATAAATTGAATTTACGGAGCTTACAAGTCCTGAAGGTTGCCCTGCAATTTAGAACCTTGTGACTCAGCCTTGGGAAATTTTGCAGTGTTTATTCTCACAGCAGGAGACAAAAGTCTGTAGGACATTTCTGCAGCACCTGCTCAGAGGGACTATGGTTGTGTCCTGCTCTACAGGGCCACATTTGTCAGGGACAGGTGACATCCCTGCTCACCAGAGCCAGAGCCCACCCTCTGTGGGGCAGAGGAGCTTGGGGAGCAGGGAGCTGGGTGAGTTGTTTGCTTTCAGCTTGGCACACCCAGATCAGAGTCCAGATGTCGGGTCCCTGCGTGTCACTCCACAGATAGACCCAATAAAACACGGAGCAGGAGAGGTCAACGGCAGCCACATCTTCAGGGATGTGAAACTGAGCTCTGCAGGCCACTTCCCTGAGTAGGGGCAGAAAGCAGAGGCATTCGTAGACATGATTCTGGGCTTGAAAACAGATTATTATTCTTATTTTACCGTTATTCTTATTTTAGCGGTTTTGTTTTAACTGCTTTAAAAGAAACTTGACAAGAAATTCAAGGGTTCTCTCTCTGGCTTGAGTTTTTGAGGCCTTTCTGTGTAACTTCCTGCCTTACATTTCTTTGGAATGAGTCAACAATCTGCAAGGTTGTGTGCAGGTGATGTGTGCAGGGTTTGAAGTCTTGTTCTGCTCAAGCTTCTGCTTTGCAGCCCAGCTCTAGCAAAATATCAGGAAGTGGCATCCCTGATATTTCTGTTCACTAAACAGCACCAGACCCACGTTCATCTGAGGGCTGAGATGCCAGAATATGCTTTTTAATACCAGTTTCTTTGCTCCTCCAGGTATTGTGAGTACAGGGAGATCACCATGTCTGAAACGTGCAGTGTTTTCTTCCACGAACTTTGAGAACATCCTGACCTGGGAAACAGAAGCAGATATCCCCCCTGGCACTGTATTTGAGGTCCAGTACAAACAGTATGTGAAGTTTGCTTCTTTTGGGGAGTTGTGCTGTTCTTAGGGAGAGAGAGAAGGGCCAGCAAACAAAAGCTGGTTTTGCTGTTTTACTGTTACGGAAATGGCTCTGCTTGGAGAAGAGCTCAGTGAAGGACAGGATTATTCAAAGTGGTACATGATGCTCAGTTAGGCAAATATTTTACAGCTTGGGTTGCCAACTTCACTCAATAACTGAGCTATTCTTTGCCTTCAGCAACTTCCTCCTCTATTCCTCCGGTCGTGTCCTACCAAACAAACTAAAAGCTTCTTGGTTTGTTTGTTTGGTTTTTTTTTAAAAAAAACTCAGGTATGGAGAAAAATCCTGGCTCCCCAAGGCCGAGTGCCAGAGTATCACCCAGCACTTCTGCAACCTCACTGGTGAGACAGAGAACTTCACAGAGCATTACTACGCCCGGGTGAGGGCGACGGGCTGGAGCGGCTGCTCCTCCGGCTGGGTGCGCTCCGAGAGGTTCGAGCCCAGGAAAGAGAGTAAGTACCCAGCCCAAAGCCCCCAAATCCCACTTCCTGGGGAGCCAGCCCTGCTCTCACTGTTGTTTAGGGCAGCACCTCCCCAGATTTCAGTGTTGGAGGGCTCCTGTGCTTGCTAAGGGAGGGAGAGAAGGCCTGTAGGTTTGGTGTTGGGGCAAGGAGGGAAATGAGCAAATGGGCTCATTTGATCCAACATCAAAGTGGGACTACAGGGGAAAAGGAGAAGCCAGGTGGCTCTGATTCTGTGAGTCTCTGACCCCATGACTCTGTGCCCTTGAAGGAAGAGCTGCTATTAAGGCTGATGAGAGGCAGAAGGAAATTAGTAAGACACAACCCAAGGACAGCCAGTAATAAAGTCCCAGGAGCTTTGAAATGTGAGCTCCTGAAAATTGGGATAAGCATCCAGCCCCATGGATACTTCATGTTCCCAACCCTTAAGTGAGCCCTCCTACAGACACACAGCACAGCCTTTGGAAGCATTATTGGCTCTGCAACTAAACTCTTCCCACTGCATATTCACCCAGAATAATTCAAGGTGCCAGCCAATGATTGTGAAGAGCCTTCAGATCTTTGCACCAAAAGAGCCACAGGCTGCTTTGGTCATTAAACACTCACTGTCACTGCAGTGTGGGCATCAGACACGAGGTGGTCCTGCCTCCTAGAGCTGCTCTTTGCAGCTTCATGTTTCCAAACTACATGTCCATGAAGGAATCCCACTGCTGCTCTTAGAGCTGCTGCTAGAGCTGGGGTTAAACCTCTGTTTAGTGTTGGGTGTAACGTGTGCCTGTCACAAGGGATAAGTGTAGACACAAAAGACCTGAACTACTCTAAAATCTGGCATAGGCTGGGAATAGGAGTTTTGTCTGAGTGCCCTGTGGTGGGATTTCACACCATCACACACGGGGGAGGATGTCCCTGGGAGGGACGGGGAGTGGAATCACTGAGAACAGGGTCCTAAGGAAAAGCCTGGGGCAGGAACTCCTAGGAACAAACACTGGCTGAGTGTGGCAGAACCCCACAGCACCTGTGTCTCCAGTTGCCTGACTTTCCCCATGCTCATACAGCTCAAACCCTTGTTGTGCACGAGCAGAAGGAATAATTTCAGTGAGTCTGGGGGGGGGGAGTGTGGTGTATTTAAGATGATCTGATAATTATCAGCTTTACCCTTCACAGCTGACAGTGCCTGTTGTGTCTTTCCCAGCTGTTATAGGAGCACCACAAGTGGAGTACATTCCCCATGTACGGTCCATAAAGTTTCTCATCCGGCCCCCCTACACTCCCCTGAGGGGGGAGGACAACCATCAGCTCACCGTGGAGGACATTTACAGCAAATTTGGGGCTGTTGGTTATCACCTGACAATATTCAACCAAAGGACGCACCAGCAGGTAAAGCACAACCTCAGGCACCGGCCTGTGATTCTGTAAATCACATTTTGGGTAAGATGGAGAAGGATCTCAGAGCTTACACACGATGGAGGAGATTTCTGATGGGACAGGGAAAGTCTCGGAGTCTTTGACTCTCAGCAGACAACAAGAACTTTAAGCGTTCCTCTTAAATTCTGGAAAAGAAACTGGAGTTTCTGAGGGTACTGTGACTAAAAAGATGACTTAATTAGTTCAAGTCTCGAGAAACTGAAATGCAAAATTAAAAAGAGCAACAACAGAAAGCAAAGTGATGTAAATATTTAGAATTCCATACGTACAGAATAATTATAGCACTAAAACACCTTATCAAGTAAAATAATATTTTATGCTGAATTTTGCAATCTGATTTGAAGAAAATGTAGCATTTAATCTTTCTAAAATACAGATTTTACCTTTGTTTTCAAACAGCGGACAAAGAATGAGCACAACAAAGAATTTGAAGTTTCCGACTTGGACCCAGACACTGAATATAATGGAACAGTTTATATGTATCTCCTCCAGAAAAGCAGCAAATCTCAAGTGTTTTGGGTTAAAACACTAGAAGGTGAGGCTGTTCACTCTGCTGATTGAAAAGTCCAGCTGGGATACTGGCTACACAAAATACACTGATTTTCATCAAGGAACACCAACTTAAATAATTTAAAAATTAAGTGCTATGAGACGAAACCTCTAACATCATTTAGCTAATCTGGTGCAGCTTTTCTAATCCAACCCTCTTTCCACTTGTTCTCTTCCCCACTAACCAGACAAGACGTGGGTTCTCTACAGTCTGGTGGCCCTGGGATTCTGTGCTGGGCTGGTGTTTGCTGCCGCTGGTTACGTGATCTACAAATACGTCAAACAACACAGTGCCCAGCCCATGGCTCTGGTGAGTGTCCATCAGCCCCTGCAGCAGAGCTTTAAGGTCATAAAATCCCAGAGTAGCTTGGGTTGGGAGGGACCTGAAAGATCAGGGATTCTCACTTATCCTTCACCTCCCACACTGAGTGCTGGGTCTTCACGTGAGATCAGCTTAAGGGATAATAAAGTATAATAATAAAATAAAAGGTTATTTCCACACTGTGCATAAGTTACTGGCTCTGTGTTTGTTACTGGCTCTTACTGACACTTCTCCAAGGAAAATTTTAAAGAATCAAAAGCAAACCTTCAAGTTTACAGCTTCTTGTTAATAACTCCTGCTTGTTTGTCTACTCCAACAGGACTTCAGAGGGATTTCATCGTTCCAGCCTCTCACACTGACAGTGGAGCACATCATAAAGCCCATTAGTTTATCCAAACCTTCCCTTTTCACCTCTGAAGTGCCGCTGCCTCAGATCAGCCAACAACTGGACCGAGCGCTGGAGCCAGCACAGCCTTCCTGCCCCCCCGAAAGTGGCTATCAGCAACAGGCAGAGGTGCCAACATTCCAGCTGCCCCCTCAGCCGTCCTGCAAGGAAATTGCAGCTCCAACTGGTTACGCTCCTCAAAAAGCCCAGCAAAGCATTCCCGCTGCCACATCCAGCAAAACCCTGCCCCTGACCTACGGGCTGTGTGTGGAAGGCGCAGACCACGGCTACGAGAATTTGCAGCCGGACCAAACGCTTAAGGAAATCTCTCCAGGTCGTTTTGCTGATGGAAAGCTCACGGCCCAGGTGCTGGGAGAGAGCTGCAGCCGCTGGAATTACAAAGAACAGCAGCCAAAGGTGGCGTTGTGGGGGAGCAGGGGCAGAGCAGAGCCAGTGCCCTTCCAGGGGAGCCCTGGGCAAAGGCAGCTGCTGCTGCAGAGTGACAGGGGGGAAAATCCAGAGCGTGTGCCCCAGTTGTCCCTGTCTTTGCTGAAACAAGGAGGATGCTACAGACAACAGGCAGCAGGACTGCCACTGCTCCTGCCTGCAGGGAACGCCGGCACAGACTGTGCTCCAGGGGAGGAACTGTCAGCACCCCTCCTCTCCTCAGTCCGGACTGGTAACCACTCCCCTGGAGAGGACAACACTGAGCAGTGGATGTTGCCAGACCCATTCCCACGTCCTGCAAAGCAAATGCAGCTCCCAGAGACTCCAGGCATGGAAATGTTCCCAGCAGCAAAGGGGCTGAGCTGCACAGACACCCTCCCAGGCCGGGGCAGTGGCACTGCTCTCACTGTGTTCTTCAAGGATTTGGAGTTAAAACTACAGGGGGATGAGGATGGGAACACATAACTTTGTTAGGATGACAACGATGTTAAAATCCAGATTATGTTTTCTTGCATGAAACGGAAGCAATGCAATAAAAACAGCTAATCCTGGATGGATTGACACGGCACAGGGTTGTCAGACTGTCCCACCACGGAGATTGGTACCTTTACTGACATAATTACTTCTTGGGTCACTGCAATATTGTGTTTCTTCACTTATTTCTTGCACATTCTTCAAACTTATTATGAGTTGGACTACTTTAAAAGCTGAGTTAAGATTCAGGTTCAAATTCTAGATTCAGTTTACTGAAAATTTAGCAAAATTTACAACAGAAACTGCCTTTGCCCTTTACCAACACCAAAGATCCAGGTCCAAGACATATCCACCCTTTGAAGAAATTCAGGGATGCAAACCTGAAAGAATGAAATGTACCATGGTACAGTAAAAGAATTAAATAGAGATTGGTGGATATATGATTCTTGGAAAACAGTAGGCTACTTCCCTGGAATGGACTTAGTCACTGAACTGGGTAACAGCTCCTGATGCAGCACTTCTGTGAAACACATCCTTGTCCTGCTGTGCTCTTTAAAGCCTTTAGCACTTGCACAGTCACAAAAGGCAATCTAAATTCTACTTGTTCAGGGGACAGGGGAGGAAATTATTTTTCATCCAGAGGAAGGCAGAGTTCAGCCTGTTGATTTCCACTGCTGTGGTGAAAAAAATGTGCGTGATGACATCAGTTTTAGGGGAGAACTGAAACCATTTATAGGAATAAGCAAGGCTTGAATGGTATGGGGAAGTATTTGCTCAAAGAGCCAAAGGCTGACCAGAGGCAAAACTCAGCTGTTCTCACTCTAAGTGCACTTGGGTGTTTTCTCACTCCAGGGAAACTGAAGCTAAAGGCTGAACTCCTCTTGCTTTGGGGTGATTTTGCAAATCAACCAAGGCCTTGTGAAATAAAGATTTTTGATGATTCAGGCCAGGATTAAAGGACCAGTCTTAGAAACTTTCCAGGCAAAGATTCAGCTCTGAACTGCAGCAGCAATAACTGCCAAAGCACCGTGGCCATGTCGTGTGAGGCCAAAAGGTGCAGGTGTGGTGAGGAGCTGCCATGGCACAGGGTTTGAAAGGTTTAAATATGTGCAGGGTTTGGGTGGAGACCAGAGGGACATTTCCACTCCTCACCCCTCTTCATACCGTTCAGTCCCAAAGGGTTTGTGGAATGTCCTTTGATCTCTGTCACGTGCTCTGTACCCCAAAACACCAACACACAGAGAAACTCTGCAGCTACAGGAGCTGCAGCAGCCCAGCTGTGCTGATTCCAAGGAGTGTGAGACCCCAGAGGTAATATTTTTCCCTACTAGAGGCTTTTAAAGCCAGTGATGCCAATTACCTTATTCAGAGTTGCCTGTGGGCTGCATATCTTGTGTCAACAACATTCCCAGCCACACTGCTCAGGGAATAATCAAATGCCACAATGTCAATATTTTGGCTTGTGTTGTGAAACATAACCCCCAGCACAGGATCAGTATGGGCAGCCTCATGTGGAAGGAAGAGGGGCCTTGGGAGAGCATTTGAAGATGCTGTTAAAAAATCCATTATTTTCTATTTTAAAAGCCTTTTCAATTCCATCTGCAGACCCCCTGCCACAGGGTCTGGCCATGTCCAGACTGTAATAAATGTATCATCTTGGTGGAGGGGAGATGGAAACTGAGGTGCAGAGAGTCTAGGAATGGGTTTTTAGAATGTCTGTAGGTTCCTAAAGATGCAAAGTGTCCCAGATTTGGGACATCCATCTCTCCCTCAGGAACCTTAAACACCTTCAAGGCTACATTGCCTCTGACTGCACAGAAAGGCTGTGTATGGCAGGAATGATTCCAGCCCCATCCCATCCTGCCTGTTCCACCCTTCCCAGCAGCAGCTGGGCTGGTCAGGGATCCCAGGCAGGAGGGAGGCTCTGAGCCATGTCCCGAGGAGGTGACTGACTCCAATATTCCCGATTTCCTGCTCTCACCATGGCTTAGTCAATGTTTATCTTTTAGGCCTTGATCTTCTAAGCAGAAGGACATTGGTTCTTGTCTCATGAGTCACCTCTTCAGTTTTACAGGAAGATCAACCCTTCTAAAACTGTTTCTCTCCAGAAAATCTTGGAAAGAGGTGTTGACGTTATTGAACTTTATTGGAGCTGCACAAGGAATGTGTCATCCATCCCTCATCAACCTGTGCTGACCTCACTGCCTTCAGCTTCCCTGCTGTTCAGAACCAAGCTGATGCCCTTGTTTGTGTCAAACAGCTGCTCCAGGACCTCATTATCTCTGTCTCCTGTGTATGAACATATTCAGATTAAACCGCAGGATTTCAACACTGTTTCAAAGGTCATCCCATGCCAGCCACCTGTGCCCAGCAACACGCTGTTCCTCAGCTATCCTGGCTTTTCCAGAGAACAGTTCTGATAGCTGCAGATAACAAACATGGGAGTGCCCTGCCACGAAGGCCGTGGGGATGGCCAGGCAGATGTCCCGCGATGACAGGGGAGCGTGGCAGTCCCAGTTGTCCCAGGGACATCAGAGTGGCAGGTGGCAGCTGCAACCCCGGAGCAAAGCACTGCTCTTTGTCTTCCCAGCTAAATCTGGGAGCTGTCAGTCCCTCCCTCCCAGGCCAGCAGCCCTGCTCAAAGCTTAGCAGGGATCCTCGCCCCGGTGATGAACGAGCTGAGGCTCCTGTTCTCCCTCCCTCCCTGTTCCTTATTTCAGCGTTGGAATGTGCCCTCCCTGCTTGAACACTATGGAAAAGCCACTGATGGTTTTATAACAAGTCCTCTGAGGAAAATCTTAACTCAAGGGACAAATGAAAGCTCCAAATTCTGGAGGCAGAATGAAGCAGAGTTCATAGAATCACAGAATATGCTGGGCTGGAAGGGACCCACAAGGATCATCCAGTCCTACCCCTGGCCCTGCACAGACACCCCAACAATCCCACCCTGTCCCTGGAGCTCTGGCAGCCTTGGGGCTGTGCCCACTGCCCTGGGGAGCCTGGTCAGTGCCCAACCAGCCTCTGGGGGAAGAACCTTTTCCTGAGATCCATCCTGACCCTGCCCTGACACAGCTCCAGCCGTTCCCTGGGCCCTGTCACTGGTCACCAGGGACAAGGGATCAGTGCCTGCTCCTCTCTATAACTGTTTCTACATAAAATAGATTTTTTGTCCTAGTTCTGGCCTGCCAGCATTGCTGTCAGTGATGGGGCAGTGGTGCAGCAGGACTGCAGCAGCTGGATCTCAGTGCTGAGCAGTGGCCTCATACTGCAGAGCATTTAAAATGTCCATGTGTATCTTCTTTCTCCTCAGTCCGAGATAATGAGAGCTGTGAGACATGATTATTAGATGTTTTTGCAAGAAGAAGGTGAAAAAAGTGGTCAGCCTTCATATGAGGAGGGCATAAGGTTCTTCTTAAAGCACACAACAGAGGGTTGATGTGACAAAGATGAATGAAGTTATTAATATTAAGCAGAATAAACAAATAACTACCCATTACTTCTCATAATATAAAATTCAGGAAAGCACTAGAATAATCATGGAACTGTCCAAAACCAATGGAAGAATAATGTTCTTTTTCTTTGACAGCTCAGCTCATACCAAAGCACATTCAGGCCTGCCTGCCCAGTTGTTCCTGTTTATTGCTTTCTTAGGAATGTCTGAAATTCAGCCACCAAATAACCTTTCCACCTGGAAGTCCTTGTAGTTCTAATGCTGATCCTGGGTTTCTTCTTTGGCTGGTGAAGCAAACAAGGTTCTTAGAAATGGATCCTACTGATCTGGGCAGGGTGACTCAATCTGGGCCAGATTTGATGGGGGACTTCATTTCCATAAGGCCACTGACACCACAAAAAAATATCTCCTGCCTCTCCCCTTGCTGGGAAGGGTTTATCCTGAGTGCTGGAATTGCAAGATCATCTCAAATAAATGGGAAAAACAGCACTCTGTTCTGTGACCCCAAACTCTCAGACACCACCATGGGCAGCTGGATACCCAAACTCACCCTCCACTGGGGCACCAAGGCTTCATTTGCCTGTAAAAAGGGAAGTAAAAGAGTCACAGCTGACCAAAACATAAGAGCTGCTGTAGCTCCTGGTCTAATTATACACTGACAAGATTTGCCTGGAGTTGCCATTGACTAAAGAGATGCCAAAGTCAATAATTTCACTCTCTTACACAGCAGTGGCAAGGTTAACCCCAGGGAAATCCCTGCAGGGGGTTAAAATACTCATCATTCACTTCAGGTGCTTTGTGAGCCTCTATCCTAAAAGAGCAGAGGATAATCCAAGAGCAGAGGATTTTGGAGGCACCTGCCTTCCCTTCCAGCCTTTGGCAAAGGCAATAATTGGCCTGATTTAGAGGGAGTTTGGGAGTCCTTGGCACTGCAGTGACCACGCAGGGGCTCCCCATTGTCCCGGGGAGGGCAGGGCACGAGGCTAAATTTGACTCCAGGATGGGCACTCCAACATGGGGAACATTCTTTTGGGGAGAGTCATTCTTAGTGTCATCACCAGGGAGAAGGGAAGCCTCCTTTGTCCTCTCTCTTGCCTGAGGACAGGAGCTCTCAGCAGAGTCTTCACTGGGTGAGTTTGGTTTATCTGTAAATAAGCTGCTGTTTGTTGTGAGATTTTATAAGATCTTCAGAGCAGCATCAGTTATTTTTTTTTTCATGGCAGCTTTGTCTGACTTGCACTTCAGAAATAGGCTGTGCTTTGTCATTGTGTCTGCTTTAAAGTGTAATTGCTGTTTTTCTGTTCTGTTTTTCTGTTCTGTTTAGAAAATAATACATGCTTGAATTGAAAAGTGTAGGTTGTAGCAGATCAGAACTCTGTATGTTTGCACAAACACCAGATTATAAAGCATTGAAATTTGTCCAGGGAAAAATAAATAAAAAAAATTATATAGTAAAAATTAATCTGGATCAGTAATTATTTGTGAACATGGACACAAAGATCTGATGCCCAGGATGACAGGAGTCATTCTGCAGCTGAATCAGTCCTGAAGAGACCAGTATTTCATGCAATCACAAAGATATTTTCCCATAAAA